GACGCTGAATCGTCCCCAGACCCTCAGTCTCATTAAGCCCCTCCCTCATCCCTCTGTATTATGAGGGCAGAGTCCTCATTCACAGGGTTCTCATGAGGACAAAATGAGACGAGACATAGGAAGCCCTTGGCATCCTACGAGTACTCAGCGCACATTAGCCAATGCCGTCACGTTGTGCTTTTGTTCTGCACCACTTTTTCAGTGCTCTCGTATTTCTTTGTTCCCTGCACTTAGGTGGCTGTTTCCCAGGATGGCTAAGAACCTTCCCTTTATTTCTGACACTTTCTTCCGTCCTTTATCAGCCTTATACGGAGGAGGTTCCTGTGCTGCTTCTCAGACTGCTATCTTGCTGCACATCTATTCTAATTGCTTTCTCACCGTCATACAGCATTTAAAACCAAAGCCACCACTCATTACAGACTTCCCTCTTCAGGAAGGATTTCTGTAGAAGTTTAAAAAAGCTTCTAGAAGATGCAGGGGGAGGGAAAAAGATAACAGATAACTGTAACAAAGTTTTAATATTCTTTGCACAGTGCCCAGAGTAGCTTTAAGAAACTCTTTAACAAAGTAATAGGAGGAATGAGGAACAAAAGCAGATACTATCTGCTGGTTCTATTTGCTAAAAGCATCCTTCTGAAAAGCTGAAGATAGCAACTCTAGAGATCTCCAGTGTAGACCCAAGCCATAAGATTGTTCTGTTTTGTTCGGTTTTTTGCCCGTGTGGGTACTCAAAGATGCAGAGAAGTCCTTAGGTTAACTCAAAGTAATGTAAGTCATTCCTTTAAAAAAAAAAAACGCCCTTGGATTTTAACATAATCAAAAGTGGTATTTCAATATTGCTGACCCTGATTCGTTATCGAGCCACTATATTGAAATGGGTGCCCCGGTGGCACAGTGGTTAACAGCTATGGCAAGCTACAGCTACTAACCAAAAGGTTGGCAGTTTAAATCCACCAGCTGCTCCCTGGAAACCCTACGGGGCCATTCTACTCTGTCCTATAGGGTCGCTATGAGTTGAAATCAACTCGACTGCAATGGGTTTGGTCGGGTATACTGAAAGGACTTCTGAAAGAGTTAGGTACAGAGGGAAGGCCCCTGTTTATGCTTCAGGATTCTGGGGTCTGTTACAAAACAAGGAGTCTACGTGGCATCCTCCACTTTCTCCAGAGGACACAGAACGTCTGACCCACTTTGGTGAAGAAGGGTTGACAAGGGGCTGGGGCTGAAGGGACCTCTCACCACTTTCCACAGACAAGATCTTTGTGTCAACCCTGAAAAGCCTGAAACCTAATGCTCACTTAGTCTGTGTGGGTTAGACATCCCCAGCGGGGCCCAAGAATCAGATGCTCTGAGAGGATCATGTAGATCCTTTAGTCTGACTCCCCTCAGTGACTCTGACCGCCCCTGGTGGGGTGCGCTCTCATGTTCACTATGGTATCCAGCAGGCAAGTAGGAGATGCAGTTTCAAAAGACCAGGCCCAAGCCAGAGAGGCAAGTCTGGGTAGGTCCCACTTTCATTCAATACACTCTTATTTCCCTGAGCCTCTACTAGGTTCTAAGCACTCAGCAGTTCCTGCTCCCAGAGAGGATTCTGGTGGAGCCAGGCAGGATTGCCCAGGCCATGAATGAGCTGATCCCAAGAGCAGGCACAGGAAGGGGAGGGTTGATGGGCCCTTGCCTGCAGCTCCCTCTCCAGCTACTACCCCTCCTAGCTCCTGGCACCTGTCAAGGAGTAAAGACTGATCAAGGCTCTTCAAGAAGGGCCTTGTGAAAGTACCAGGGCCAAGGACACAGAGGCATGGGAGAAGGTCCCTGGAACAAAATACAGCCCACTCTGAAGACCATGTATGGGTGCAGGGTGGGGATCATGATGCCAGGACCTCATCATTAGCTCCCCTTTCCCTCCTTGAGATGGGGAAGGGAGAGAGGGAGGAGACACGGTCAGAATGCTATGAGGATCTGTATAATTCCCGACATCACGCGCCTTCCTATTAGCCTAGTTGATGCTGACAGTAGGTCCTCAGTATAACTAGTTAGGACAGAAAGGAGGAGCACAACGCTTCCTGTGCTGGAGACTGGTCCATCTAGTGTGGCAGACAGTCCTCAACAGCCCGTGGCTGCCACGTTCCCTCTGCACTCTAAGACTTGTCCTTAGTGTCTTCTAACTTTGAGGGTCACTGGTAAAGGTGTGAATGCCAAGTCCAGATGAACTGCACCTGCAACATTCTGGTGGCACTCGGGGAGGGCAGTAAAGCCTGGTGGTTGGGAAAGGGGCTCTGGAGTTCAAATGTCAGGGTTATAATCCTGGCTTACCAACCACCCCTCAGGCAAATGACTTGAGGGGCCTCAGTTTTGTCATCTGTAAAATGGGGATAATAATAATATATACCTCACAGAACCACTGTCAGGATTAAATGAGATAGCAAGTGTAAAGTGATGAAGTGTCTGGTCCACAGTAGGTGCTCAAAAAACATTAATATCACATTAAGATTAACATTAATAATTGTGTCAATTATTATCATTATTAGCTCTGCCCACTTTCCTTCCTGTAGCTAGTTTTGTTAAGGTGCCAAAGGAAAAACATCTGCTCTTTATTCAAGAAACATTGGTTAAGAACTACTAACTAGATTTATTATGCATTACCCAGAGTAATAAAATTTTCGCTTACTTTTTGAAAGATTATACTACCATTTCACTTTTTCATTTCCTCTTTTGCTTTTTTCCAAAATAAATTATATGTTTGCAAGATTCAAAAAAATCAAATGCGTGCGCGCGCGCGCACACACACAAACACACACACACACACACAGTTTCCCTTGCAATCTGGTCCCCCATTTGCACAGCTGCATATCCATTCTCTCCATAAGTACCCTCTTTACTTCACGTGCAGTTTATGGAATTTTTGTGTGCACATCAGCAAATACATATATTTCCATTTTCTCCCTTTTTTCTCCCCACAAATATAACAAACTCTGTTTATGCTGTTCTGCACTCTGGTTTTTGTAGCTGACATATCCTGGAAGTTTTTCCATAATAGAACAAGGAGAACACCTCCATTCTTTTTACCGCTGCAGAGGATTTCTCTGGAAGGACACACTGTAACTTACTTCACCAGTCCCCTATTGATGGGCATTTGGATTTAAAATTGTTTTATAAAGATTCAAAACAAACAAAAAAACCAAACCCACTGCCTTTGAGTCAATTCCGACTCATAGCGACCTTACAGGACCCAAAAGGTTTCCAAGGCTATAATCTTTACAAAAGCAGACTGGCACATCTTTTTCCCAAAGAGCGCCTGGCAGGTTCCAACCGCTGCCCTTTCGATTAGCAGCTGAGTGCTTAACCACCATGCCAGCAGGGCTCCTTCCTTAGATGTATCATAGACTACTAAAAAAGTCCTGGTGGCATAGTGGTTAAGAGCTATGGCTGCTAACCAAAAGATTGACAGTTCGAATCTACCAGGCGCTCCCTGGAAACCCTATGGAGCAGTTCTACTCTGTCCTATAGGGTAGCTATGAGTCAGACTCGACTCGACGGCAGTGGGTTTGGTTCTTTTGGTTTAAAGGAGTAGTCCATGATATATCTAATATTAACACTAACATTTCCTCTTTATCATGAATTAGTAAAATTTTCATTTTAATATGTTTTTTTTGTGGGGGGGTGCCTCAGTAGCAAAAATAAAACTAAATAATTCTGGGATAAGGGATGCCTGTCTTTAGAGCTTATGTGCTGGGCAATTCCGAATGAGAGGTCTGAGCCAAACCCCCTTCTGTTCATCCCTTTCTTTGGTTGCTATCACCTTGGGTCTTCATATCAGCTGAAGGCCATGTGAGTTTAATGAAGACTGCGGGGTTTTCACAGAGAGTCCTAGATCGTTGTATATGTCAGCCACAGTTGAGCAAACAAGCTACTCCAGGCTCCTCGAGTTTAGTCACGTTTACCTTGGTCAACTAAATGTGCAAATTCATATGGACTTTATATGCGTAAGTAATTCCGGACAAGAGGAATACTGTATGTGTGGCAAATGAACATCTTGTGGGAAATCAAAAGTGAGACGTGGTTTACTGTTATGCTCTTAGCTTCTACCAAGGTCATTACAGTAAAGAGCCATATGAAATCACTTTGGCAATTGCTATGAAACTTTTGTCAAGGGCACTATCCCACAGGCGGTCCCATGCTATCAATTTCTTTCAGAACGTATTGTCAGGAGACACTGTCTCCCTCGAGGAGCTATGGGGAGTGGTATGGTTCATCATGGTTCCCTTATGACTCTGGCTTTTCAGGAACCTCAGAACTGAATCTGATGCTCAGCCGTGGAAATAATTAACCCTCCTGATGAGCTAGTTGCTTTCTCCCCCTCTCCATGGTCCTGATTTTTCTGTTCCTATTCCTCTGGCCCCAAACCAAACTAAACCAAACCCACTGCTGTCAAGTCAATTCTGACTCACAGCGACCCTACATGACAGAGTAGAACCGCCCCATAGGGTTTCCAAGGAGCAGTTGGTGGATTCGAACTGCGGACCTTTTGGTTGGCAGCCAAGTTCTTGACCACTGTGCCACCAGGGCTCCTCCTCTGAGCCAGTGGTTCTCAAACAGGGATAAGTCCCCTCCGTTCCCAAGGGGACACATGGCAATGGCTGGAGACATGTTTGATTGTCCCATCTGGTTGGCTGGGTGCTACTGGCATCTAATGCATAGAGATCAGAGTTGCTATTAAACATCTTACAGTGCACAGGACGCCTGTCGCACCCCCGACCCCCCAAAAATGTCAATAATGCTGAGGCTGGGACACTCGGCTCTAACCTGGTTAACAGCAAATCCTCTGTTGGGAGCTCCGGAGACCTTATCTGGAAAGACGTCTAACTACACTTGATAAACAGAATACCGAGAGAGCAAATGGAAAATGTCTGAACATTTCAGTAGGAACAACAGCAAATCCAGTCACCCTCTGTCCATGAAGAGCTGTGCCCTTAACTGCTAAACCCAGAGACATGAAGTACCTTGAGGAGTCTGAACGCCGTCATCCAGCAGGTCCTGCTCTGCTCATCTTCTGCACAGAGCAACCTCAGCTCTTTAGTTTCGTTCCTTACTTTGTTTGGCTAAAGGAGACAAAAAGAAAATTCCATCAATGCAATACAGGGAGCCAAAAAAGTGGTATGCTAGTACAAGACTGATTCTTACGGAAACCATTAGGGGCACCACCCACGTAAAGAGTTTGGGTGGCGTGCTAACACAAACCGTGCTATGCAGTCATTTGTTCATTTACTTGACACGCCTCTATCACGGCCCCATCACGTACAAAGACTGGGCTGTATGACTGGTAAGCCATCTCCAGCTGGGGAGCTCAGGGTCTCAGAGAGGGACAGACAGGAAAACAAGTATCACAATACAAAGTGGTTAGTGCTACAGGAACACAGAGAAGAGGCGTCTAACTTGGCCAAGAGAAAGCTGGATTCTCCTGAAGGAGAACCTGCCTCCCGAGTTACAGAAAAATGTTCCTCAAATGCCCATTTCAGGGAGCAGGAGGAGGCAGCCAGAGGGGTGAGCCAGGAAGGAAGACACTGCTAGGGCTCCAAGGGGCTGTGAAGTGTCCCAGGTGGAACATCCGGAGAGAGGGAGGGAGGGAGCGGTGTCCTCCCTGAGAAGGGTACTGAAGAGGGAGCAAGCAGCTCAGGCCAGGGAAGGAGGAGGACTGCTGTAGGAGCAGGTTATCTGAATCTCCCTGTGAGCCTTCTGCCTCCAGACACAGTGGTCAGTGGAGAGTGGACCCTCGCCCAACTCTCAGCCTTGGGAATTTGAGTGGCCAAGAATTTCAGAGACTTGAGTGACTTCCTGCACGTGGCTAGCACTGTGGGATAAACTAAGACAGCCAGCCTGCAGACAGAGACAGTGAGCAAGAGAGAGAGAGAGGGGACAGACAGTGAGCGAGCACAGCAGCGAGTGTGTGGGCTCCCATCGCTTGTAACTGTAAGAACCGTCACTGAGAGAGGTGTACGGTAATACTATCGGGCGGACTCCTCTCCCTGCTGCAGCTCAAGGAGGGGCTCCCTGCTCTCTCCCAGGGATCGCAGTTAAGAGCTCTGGTTCAGACGTTAGCTAGGCTGGGATGAAATCCAAGCACAACTAGTCACTGGCTACCTGACCTGGGCAATGGAGATTGTTGAGTGGCTATCCCATTAGCCTGCTGTGAAGGTTAAATAAGATAATGGATGTAAAACCCTTTGCAGGGCATCTCAATATGTACGAAGTATTCAATGAATTTATTATCTACTATTATGATTATCAATATTATCACAATCTTTCCAGGGGAAAAGTGCAGCCCCTGCCTATAAGTACGTGCTTTTGCACATACGTGTGTGCATGTTAATACATGCATGTGTATACATGCATCAGTGTACTATGTGCACATACGTGTGCATGTGCATGTGTGTGCTGTGTGCATGTACGTGCATGTGTCTGCTGTGTGCATGTACGTGTGCTGTGTGCATGTACGTGCATGTGTGTGCTGTGTGCACGTACGTGCATGTGTCTGCTGTGTGCATGTACATGTGTGTGCTGTGTGCACGTACGTGCATGTGTGTGCTGTGTGCACGTACGTGCATGTGTGTGCTGTGTGCATGTACGTGCATGTGTGCAGAGGGTGGGGAGTACTGTGGCCACTTCTATCTGACTACCCAGGACCGGACGCCCATGCACACAGCATCATCTCACTTGGTACCCTGAAGGTCACCCAGATGACAGGCTGCGGGTGGAGGGTCTCTTACCGTTAACCTGCCTCTTCCTCCTCTGCTCTTGCCACAGCCCTGTCCAGGAGGCAAAGTCACCCAGCAGTAAGCCACTGGGCATACCGACCAGCACTATCTATATGTGCTCTTCCTTTCCTTGAGCTTCTGAACTACTCTAGAACTGACACCTTGTAAGCATACAATAAATATATTTACATGAATGTATATATCCAGTGTGAAAACTATGTTTCTATTTAAAAAAAAAAAAAGAACTCAATGCTAGTTGAGAGGAATTTCCTGTTTTCATTACAGAGGTTACAATCGGATGCTGAAATCAATGGTCTAGACATGACTGCTCCTGGTGAAGTACCTTTATACAGAACCCATGGTCGGTGGGAGCGCTGTACTGCTTTTTGCCAGCGATCAGGGAGAAGATGTTGCTGTCTTCCAGGTCAGCCAGCAACTGCAAGTGTCTGGGCTCCTGTGCAAGCAGAGAACATGTTTCAGCACACAGCACATGTTTCTCACATCTTTGCCAACAGAGGGCAGCATGTGCACATTTAAAAGTAGTTTTCCCTCCAACATTCTAGAGGCTGTAACCATGGAACGCATACACATACAAAAAAACCAAACCAACTGCCTTGGAGTCAATTCCAACTCACAGCGACCCTACAGGACAGAGGAGAACTGCCCCATAGGATTTGAACTGCCGACCTTTTGGTTAGCAGCTGAGCTCTTAACCACGGTGCCACCAGGGCTCCACTGCACACCATAAGGACTAAAGGGCCGAATAAAAAACAAATTTACCAAGCCCCCCACTCCCCCCAAAAAACCCTGCCAATTTTCAGACGTACAACTGTTAGAAGGTATTTGATACTTCCGCCAGATCAAAGCCCCATAACCAAACGTTCGAAGTGCAAACCAGGAGAAAATAACTAACGCGAAGGTTAGATCACATTGTCCAACGCAAGAACTGTGTACCTTTGGTACGTCAGCGCACTGAGAGTCCAGGGCTGCCTTTACCATTGGCAGCCTATCACTCCTTTCTCCTTCTCAACTTGCCCATCCTGCTCTGTTTCCCGTTCTAGGACGCAAACTGCCCCTGGTTCAGCATGTGTGACGGTGACAAGCCGTCCATCAGAGCTGGGATGGCGGAATAACAAGAGCCTGTACCTCTCCCTGCTCTGGTATCAGGTCAAACCTCCCCAGAAGATGCTACAGAGCTGCAGGGGGAAGGGCCTGTCTGCTCTGGCCCTTCTCTCTGGCTCACACCCCTGCAGTATGGAGACTTCTCAGGCGTGAGGCTCAGTACTGCTCACACCTACCCCAGTCTTCTGTCTCCTCTGTCGGCAAGAGCAGACGAGGCTACGGTTGTTAGAAGGTACAGCCCTGGGACCAAGTTTGGCCAGCAAGGCTCTGCTGCAGGGGCACACAAAGGTGCACAGGGACGTGGGTATAAAAGTGTGTGCAAAGAAACTAAAGGAGGACCCTGGCAAAGGAAATCCTCCTCACCACCTGCTCTCTTGTGAGGCCTCCAGCTGCTTGCCCCCTCACCTCTGCTTCCTCTGGGGATACAAGCAGATTGCAGTTTACTCCAGAGTAGTTATGATAATAAGGATTAGGTTGGCGTTAGGGTGGCAATAATCTACCAAACATCCTTCTGGCTAGCTTGGATCTCAACTGTCTAATTACGAGAACAAAGTCAGCACCTCTGAAGCAATTGAGGCAGCCAGGAGGCTCTGCTCACACCTGCAGCTTGGGGAAGTGTAAGAATGACTTAGCCTTGAGGGGTTCCTACTGCTGTTAGTGTCTGCCTAGTTGGTCCCCAACTTATGGTGACCCCATGCACGATGGAACGAAGTGCTGCCTAGTCCTGTGTCACCTCCATGATGGGCTATGGACTGGACTGTTGTGATCCATTGGGTTTTCACTGACTGATTTTCAGAAGTAGATCACCAGGCCTTTCTTCCAAGTCTTAGTCTGGAAGCTATGCTGAAAAGCACTCAGCATCATAGCAACTGCCTCCAATGGCAGACTGGTGGTGGCTGCGCATGAGGTGCAGTGGCTGAGAAATGAACCCAGGTCTCCCGTGTGGAAGGTGAGATTTCTACCACTGAACCACCAATGGGGAGTTCCTAGGTCTGTATTATCACCAGTTTCTGCTGAAGACAAGTATGTCTGAGTTTAGCTGTTACACAATTAACTTAATAAATGATGATGAGCTTCAAGGAGTCCAAGTCGCATTTTAAAATGAAGCCTAAGTTCACCCCCCGCCTAAAAAATTGGTGCAGAATTCAATGCTGCTGGTGGTTTTTTTTTTTTTCAAATCACCTTTGAAGTTCCTTTTGTGGAGCAATAAAGTCCCGATCTTCGCAAACACACGTATAGCTTTTTCCAAGACTTCCTTCCCAGCTCTTTCACATGCAAAAACCCTTGAATTTCAGGACAACTGCTGGAGTTTAAAAAATTCTGTTGAAAAGGAAATTTAAAAAGTCAGTAATGTTACTATAAATAAAACAGGTATGTTATTAACATGGCTGACATCTTGACATTTTCTGAGTTATTAAAACACTCTTCTTTTGGCCAAACAGAGTCTTCAAATGATATTTTTCTTTTCAAAAGTCTTCAAGTTCCATCCAAATTGGTGTTGTACAGAACATAATTAGTATTTAAACACATGCAATCAAATGGACCTTTCAAATATTGGTGAAAAACACCAAGTCGTAAGTTTCCTTCTAAGTCAGTGCCTTTGAGGATTCTGCCCCTACAGCTCCCTTCCCCCATACTAGTTTTCCATAAAAGATCCAGTCTAGTCCCTGGAATTAGGGCAGGAGGAGGTGCCAGGAACCTTTCAATGGGACCACTGGGAATTGAGAGCATCTTGCTGCATTTTACCCATGTACCCCTCCAACTGAAAGATGTGTGGAAGTCATCCTGACATTTCCCATCTGCCTGTCTGTCTGGAATGCCTTCGTGACAGCCCACCATTCCAGGTAACCCCTCCCACAGACAGCCTGGAAGTCAGCAGGAGGGGGAAAGCTTTAAAAACCAATCATGTAATTATCTTCCTCTGGACGGGACAGAGAGGAAGAGGGACAGGTCAGGGGGTGAGGCCAGGGGAGATGACACAGGCTGGTCCTCTGTGCTGTGCTGGACTAAGAGAAGATGACTTCCTCTCCGTGGGTGGGACAGGCAAGGCGGACAGCACCCTCATGCCGCTGGCCCAGTCCTAGTATGCAGGGTCTCAAGAAATGATCACACTCCCTCACAAAGCGCACGAAGCAAGCTCACAGTCACAGCAATTAAGAAAGAAGTGAGTCATTTCCCTGTCTCCATGTCCCGGCAAGGACGACCTAGTGTCGACAACTCCTACTAGAACAGATGAATGCGATGGAGCTCGGGTGGGTGGGCAGGGCTCCTGAGGTGCCCGTCAGATAGAGCTCTGAACCACTCACCTTTAGACAGTGCACACCAGCCTAGCGGTGAACAAAGCCGGGAAGGGTTGGCTTATGGGCAGAACTTGGAGGGAACTGAATTTCCGTAGTTTCTCTTAGGTGTGAGCTGGGAGGCCACCTGGATAGTGCTGGTGGCCTTAGTGACTTGTTTACTTTCTCACTTAACACGCTGTAAAGAGACCTATTTTTAGAGGCTCAGCAGCCATACACTCCGCTCCCCATTCACGACTCCTGGGAGGGCATGGGTGGGTGGGAAGAGCAGAGAAGCCTCAGCTGAGTGCTGCCTCCACTGGAAGGAGGTGGGAGAAAGGCCAGGTTTGCTTGGATCAGACTTCAGAAAGCAGAGGACAATTAGAACAGGTTCCCTTATTTTTAATGCACAGTAAATAACTTTTAAAAGGACTTTATGGAAACCAAATCATTTTTCTATTAGGTAGACTCAGTACTTTTGTTAGAATATCAAATAGTTGGGCAGTGGCCTGTCCTGGGGTCTGTACTCAGTGTGGATCCGAAGTCTCATGACCAAGAGAACACACTCACTTGTGCCTCTCTGTTCTGCCTGTCCATCCTGTCTGTCCATCCTGTCTGTCCCCTGCCCCTCCATCTGGCCCTTCCGGCCCCTGCTTCAGGATTGTATCTCTTGGATTTCTTCTAAGTTAAAGTAAGTGTATCCTGTTTATAAGCGCCTGTTTCAGTTTGAAAGATCCTAACTACACACGGCTTCCCCAAGTAAACATTTATTTCTTGTTACTCTAAACTACACCAGGAGCCAAGGCCATGATGTGACTAAGTTTTTAGGAGGCCGCGTCACAGCTCCAGGAGGGCTGCTATCAGTGAATTCTATTTCAGCAGAAGTCTGCTTTCACCCAGTACCTGCAAAAGCTGGGTCTGAGGAATACTGCCGTTTGACTGCTGACACCAAGTAACCATCTGTTCCGGGAAGAAATTCTAAGGAAACGAGGAAAAACAAATATGTTAAAGGTTAGCTTCAAAGTGGGGAACAAAGTCTATTTATAGGCATGTCAGTATTAAAAGCACCCAAAAAGGGACTATTCTGCACATTTTTATTTAAAATAATAGTACTCTTTATTCCTTTATCACACAGTAGAAACACCTAATTTAAAAGCCTGTATTCAGTTTTCCTAAATGTCAAATTCAAGCTTGCAATTTCTATTATTTTGAATACTCAATTCCTGTCTCATAGCTTGCGCCATGGCAAAAGGCAATGCCAAACGTTATAATCCCGTGGTGTAAGTGCACAGCACGAGACATGGGATTCCTGAAAGGAAAGGTGAACACGGTTATGGGAAAAAAGTCTCTTCCGGTGCATTGCTCAAAAATGGTTATCAAATTTCTGACTTTGGAGGAAAAATAGCAGTTAAATGACCAGAGCCAGAACTGGACCTCAGACCTCCTCCCCAGGTTGATGTGGCTCTGTCCCATGATTCAGGACAAGAGTGCAGGCTTTGTAGATGTGGGGCTCATGCACACTCTTGAGAGTTCACCAAACAGGCGCCATCCCCAAAAGAGGACAGGAAAGAAAAGTCAAGGAGACTAGCTGAACACACCCAGGTACTTACTTCTCTACTCATTCCTCCACAAATAACCACAAAAGAACATTTGCAATTTACAAAGAACATGAGTCTTTCTTCTCCTGAGTTACTGATCAATGTGTTCTGATTTAACCAAGAACTTGCAAAATATCTTGAAAAACCAGGCGTCTCCTCTCCCTATGACTCAGAGACTAACCGCCTTTCCACTATTTTCTATCGGAGAAGGCAGCAGTAACCTTTGGCCAGTCCCAAAGGTATGTAGTTAAGCATCAGAGATTGAGTTGTGGGCAAATGTTACTTAAAAAGCAACTAACTGAATTCTCCAACCCAAATGCTACCCATAAATCTCAAGTCAGTTATTTTACAATCTGATACTGTTAAACCTGAGTATAAACTGCAAGATTTCAAGAGTCACAAACCCCAAACCCAAATAGGTAGACTCACCATAGGGTTTTTAAAAAACTCATACTTTGCATAATTCTTCCTGAATAAAAATTTACTTTCACTTCCCATGGTGCTCTCCACCTGGACTACCAGCTCGTGGTCCTCCAAGCACCTTTCTGCAAAGGAAGAGCATTGCGCATGAAGGATGAAATAAGCAGAAACATCAAGGTGGTTTTACAACTAATTACAGACTCTGGCTGACTTTGTGTTCCTCAAACATGGTAAACCAAGATGAGTTCAGGAAATAAGCTTAACTGAAATCTCTCTTTAATGTACTACCAAATGCACATTAAGGTCTTAAAATACATAGTATGACGAATTCAGATCCATCTTTACTTTTATATACTTCTTTTAAATTTGGCATCAACAAAATTTAACAGGAGAGACGATAAAGACTCCCAGCAAATGATGCCATTCCTTAGATTAACAAATTTCAACCCTTGTAAAGAACACAGACAAAAGTAACTGGGAAATTACATAAAGACAAAGAGAAGTGGGACGTGTACTGAGAGGGCAGGCTGGGTAAAAGGAAAGGGAGGCAGAGAGAGAAAGGGAATGGATGCTTTTCAGTCCATGACACATGGCTGGCTGAAACAGTACTGGGAATATAATATGGGACGGTGTACACTTAAACGTTAAGATCAGACAGTACATCCAAACTTAAAAAAACAAAAAAAATACAACCAAACAAAAAACAGCTGCCATCAAGTCAATTCCAACTCATTGCGGCCCGATGTGTATCAAAGTAGAACTGTATTTTATAGGGTATTCAATGGCTGATTTTTTGGGAGTAGATTACTAGGCCTTTCTTCCGATGCAACTCTGGGTGGACTCAAACCTCTAACCTTTCAGTTAGCAGCCGAGTATGTTAACCATTTGCATCACCCAGGGACGCCATGTCCAAACATACTGTCTGTAACTCTAAAGCCAGTAGTAACCACATACTAGAATAGTTCTCGGGGACTGGATTATAGCATTAAGGCAGGGGGGTAAACACAAATTTTACCACGCTCACAGGTGCACGCACACACTGTCCATGCACGGGCGTGCACACGCACACACGCCTACACTTCAGAGCAAGTACTGAGCACAACATCACCCTGGAAAGGTCGTTTCCCTCAAAGGTTGAACGCTACAGTCCAAACCAGTGTGGCTGCTGCTCTTCCAGGAAGACAGTCACACTTCTCCCAAGGGTTTTCTCAAAAATGGTTGTAACGGGGGCAAGAGGGAACTAACTTTATTAAATCATGGAAGAAAACAAAAATGCCAACCTGTTATGTGCAAATCCATCCCAGGGTCAACATGTGGTTTCATGCCCAAATGGTAGAGAGTAAAATGCTACAGAATTGATGGCAAAGGGGCGAGTCTGTCCTGACACACAGAAGCTCCCTACACGCAGCCGCAGCCAGAACTGAATTTCTAAAGCCACACCTTTCAAGGAAGGGTTGAGGTTTAGAGCGAAAGCACTGCTGATTCAAAGGGCTCAGAAGGTTAAAAAAAAAAAAATTCTCTCTAAGAAGGACAGCTGCCGCCAGGGGCGCTAGCCTCAGGGAGGCCACAGCTGGTTCTAGAAACAAGACCAGCAGCTGTCTGTCCTCAGCCTTGGTTCTGATATGATGAAGAAAGGATTCCTTGGTAAGAATATGTTTAAAGACCCATTCTTCCAAGGAAAGACATTTTCTCCCAGTTGCCAGAAAGCTCACAGAACCTCATGGAAGGGCCAGACTGGCACCAGCAGCAAACGTGGAATGTTTCCATCTGTCCTGACTGGGGAGGGACTTCTGCTAGCAACATGTGACCACAACGCTGCCCCAACTTTCCCCACGACAGCAAACGAGAAAACCATTTACAACTCAGGCATGCAATTAAAACGATTATATTTGCTTTCAAGTAAGAGGTTGAGCTCAGGGCCACTCATTTAAAATGGATTTTCCAGGGACAAAATAAATCAATGACTTCCTTTCAGATTTTTATTCAGAGAAAATAGTTCTTTCTGTAGTTACAGGACAAAAAACCAAAAACATGCAGATGGTTGGTTTATGGAATTTAAAATTTTTACCAGGCAAAAGTTAAATAGAGTGTGTGTATGGGGGTTGGTGGGGGGGTCCTACCAAAGTGAGGACAAGATGTCTACCTGCAAAGCAAAAGGCACCTGTCTCCAGGAACCCTGGGGAGACTCAAAGAGGCCCAGGGGGGAGACCAGCAGGTGTAAAGGGGTGCATCACTAATGCACACATGCTCCTTCCAATCCCCCCCCAACCTCTCCGCCTCCCGGGGCCCCTCTCTGGCAGTACGATGGAAAAGCTGAGCACGCTGAAAAGTATAGGCTGTGTAACACACGGCGTGCAGGGTGGACAGGTGAAGTGTGGGGTCCTGGCACAGGAGGACTAGAGATTGTGGGTCTATCATGGCCTTGGTGCCTCTCTGCTCGGGTGCCCCTGGTGACCCCAAGTGGCTGTGGATACCTAGAGATGGAGTCCCAACACTCTTGCATGCAATTCCCTTTCCCTCTCCTGGTGGGATAGGAAGCAGACTTAGGTGGACAGAGCTCTTGACTTGGAGTCAGGAAGACTTGAGTCCGAAGCTGCTTTCTTAGACACTCCTGGACTGTGCGGCTCAGGCTTGTCCCCGAATTTTTCTGGCCACTGGTTTCCAGTGTCAAATACATGAACAGACAACGCCAGTTCCAAGCTAGTTCTAATTTCCTCTGTAACTCTAAAAACATGCAATTTCAAATGACCTGAGAAGTTTATATGAAGCAACCACATCACTACCTCTCAACGTCACATTATTACAATCGCCTTAAATACAAGTGGAATGCTACTCTACACTGGGGTATGCCAAAAGTACTTTTTGTACAGATGGAATAGCCAAGCATTCCTTGAAGGGTATTAGTGTTTTTCAAATCTTAAAATTAAACCCATCAACTATGCCATGACCTTATTTCACACGACCAAAAAAACCCAAACCTTGCCGTCGAGTTGGTTCAGACTCATGGCGATCCCATGTGTTACAGAGCAGAACTGCTTGATAGGGTTTTCCTGGCTGTAATCTTTACAGAAGCAGATTGCCAGGCCTTTCTCCTCAGTGCCACTGGGGGGGTTTGAACTGCCAACCTTTAGGATTTGCACCACCCAGGGACCTACCCCAAATGACAGATATTTAAAGATGGGACAACACAAAACAATCTTATTTCTTTGCCTTAAAATACGCAACTAACAAGTGACTCCTTTGTGGAAAACTCGGGTGCCCAGACCAGGGTGAAGGGCTGGGCAGAACTAGTGGATGGTCCCCTGGAGGGGCTGTGCCTGTCATGTCATTGCAACACTCCCCTACACCCAGGCCTGATGTGAACAAACATTGGCCACACCCGGCCTGTCATCCCTCAGCATGGCCCACCCATCGGAAAGAAAGGAGCAAACTGTCAGCAGGCACCTGACAGCTGCCCAGACCCTCCCAGACTCAGAAATTCTGGACAGAGCCATCAACGAGGTAACGTGCCCACAGCACATAACGATGACATTTGGATAAGCCCTTTAAGCTGCCTTCTATTTATATATTTTATTGGAGAAAGGACATCATTTTGGTGCCTTTCAGATTTAACAGACGAGGAGATGGAAACAAAACAGGGTCCCTCCTGCCTGGGAAGGGCCCACGGAGGTACTGAAGCTTGAACACGGGCTATCGTCACTCCACCAACACCTCTCTACAGGTGAAAACCCCAGCGTCCAAAACGAGGCAAAGGCATCGCCACAGCATCTCTGACTTGTTCAGGGATAAGCACAAGCCTGCACCCAGCCCAAGGAAGGCTCCATGCTTTTCTCCATGCTTTTCCCCGATGTGTCTCAACCTCACTTGCTCCACAAAGGATTTCTCTAGCCCTCACCATCCAAGGGATTTGCTAAAACCCTAGTCTCTCAACTCCAACCTCTGTTGTAAGCCCAGCCTCTCCTTAACCATGGACTTACAGTCTCTTCTGCTGCTGCAGGCGGTCACTCAGGCCTGGGTGTGAAAGCCCAGCACCATTTCTTTCCATACATTCAGGGGTGAACATGGCATTTTAAACCACTTGGGGCAATAAGATGCCATTCTGCATATACATGATGCTATTTTTCAAAATCTCTTTAAAAAAGCATTTGTTTACTTGGTGGGTCTGCTGGCTCCCTGTTTACCACCATCACTATGTCCTCTATGTGTGAAGGTGTCCCAGCTGAGCTGGACCTTTGCGAGACATGTGGCTCACATGCTCAGGGGCAGACAGGATGGGAGTGACTTCTAAATGACCCTCCTCCATTCTGGCGCCCACTGGCTGCTGACTGAACTCGGTCAGTGACATGTTCCCAGGTCTCAGCGCTCTACTCCAAGATATTGGTGCCAAGACATCCCTAACAGGCAGAGTGCTTACATACGGAGAGGTCACTCAAAGGGACGGGCACATGGAAACGGGGGTGCTGGAAATCACAGAACACGGCACACACTCAAGGTCATCGATCACGAAGGGCTCTGCCCACCAGGACAAGGGACTTGCACTGACTTTTCATGCTCCCCAAGTGGGAAATGACCTCAGGAGCTGACACCAGGGACCAGGAGGGGCCACTGTACTGCCTACTAACAAGTGTGGTTCACAGTGACAGTGGGAAAAACTCCCCACCCCAGGGTTGCTGCCAAGGGCAACAGCGGGGTTGCTGTCACTGCTCCCATTTCTCCACGTGTGTGACATTCCTGCCAAGCCAGGAGTGTGACGTTGCTGCCAATGGGGCACTGTTAAGGGCTGGGACACTCACACGTGCCTAGTCTTCTCCGGTGGAAAGGGGGTCCCCACCTTTTCTAAACACATCATTCATTTCTGAGTGGGAGAAAGAGTTCATATTTTTAAGAATATAGCATTTTTATATTTTAGCTGCAAAGATCAGTATAGTAACTGTGCTTTGAAATCCTGAACTCCACAAGCTATATATATATATATATATATATATACTAAAAATGCTGTCAGAAATTAGGTCCTTTATGCCCTCAGTCATTTGGTGGGGAGGTGGAATAGGGGTCAGGGTAGGGGTAACATCTGCCTTCTGGGCTTTAAAGCACGGCCTACTTTTTGCCTATGCCACCAGCATCTTTGTGTATGTAAATGTCCCTATCAAAAAAAAACAAACCAGTTGCTCTTAAATCCATCCTGACTCACAGTGACCCCATGTGTGTCAGAGTAGAACCGTGCTCCATAGGGTTTTCAATGACTGATTTTTCAGAAGCAGATTACCAGGCTTTTCTTCCGAGGTGCCTCTGAGTAGGTTCAAACCTCCAACCTTTCAGTTAGTAGAGCTGAGCACGTTAACCATTTGCACCAACCAGGTCCTTATTAAGAATACTCAAAGTATAATTAAGAAGGTTACTTTCTAAAAAAGAGTAAAATGTAATAGATTCTAAACTCAAATAGACATGGCTGGGGGCAGGGTTGGGGGGACTCTCCCCGAGAATAAATGAGGATTGACTCTGTGTGTGCCAGAGGACCCATGAACATTGGTGGGGGCGGGAGGGTTGCTCCCTGGAACATCATTCATTATAAAGAACTCAGTGCAAGGCCAAGTGTCCTTATATCCTACTCAAAGGGGTTTCATACGGGAATGCCCCAGGGCTTCTTGGGAAGGCGCTCCCACAGCACTGGGCATGGAGGGGGCTTTAGAACAGGGTCCGGCTCACTCACACTCCTCACTATCGGGCTTCTGACAACCCAATGCTGGTAAACAGTGGACGGAATGCCACTTTTGCCTAAACAGCAACTTAAGTGATTAAAAACAATTAAATGACAGGCTTGGAGCAGAAACCATAGAGCAGGCGAAGGAAGCACACGGATGGGAGTGGGAGAGGCTCTGTAGACGGCTGAGGCTCCCTGGGTGCTGGCCTTACAGGATGGTGCAACTCAGTGGTTCTAAAACCTGCTTCTACAAAACTCAACCCCCCAAAACAAAACAAAACAAAACAAAACAAAACAAAACAAAACACCAAACCCATTGCCGTTGAGTCCACTCCAACTCATAGTGACCCTACAGGACAGAGCAGAACTGCCCTATGGGGTTTCCAAGGAGCAGCCGGTGGATTCCAACTGCCGACCTTTTGGTTAGCAGCTGAGCTCTTAACCACTGCACTACCCCAGGGCTATCTATAAAATCCAGCCAACAGGAAATGTGTTCGCTTGTTGTTAATGAGAAAGAAGCTGCAGGAGAGAAACAAAACTGATGGGGAATATCTGAGGGGAGTTCAACGTAAACCCTGTTTGAGGCTCGTTCATTTGTCAAACATGACCCAACATTTGATTCACATGCTTCTTTTTCTTTTTTTAAATTATCTTCACTTGCTTTCCCCCGCCTTTTTTCTTTTTCCCCCTTTTTATTTTGATTTTAAACTTAAGTATTATCCCCTTTAGAGTGTATTAAGTCCATTCGTGAATAAGAGAAAGAAGAAAGAATAAGTCATATAAATATCGAATTCCTACCAATACTGTGTGTGCATGTGTATTTTTTTCTACCCTTCAGGATAAATTGTTAGTCATTTGGTTGATTATTTCCAAAGTTTCAGTGTATAATTAATTTACCTACTGTGTGATATTCTAGAAATCAAGTGTTATCACATGAAAGTCTCAGTCAAAATTTCTGTAATATTCCTTGTATGTTAAAATTTAGGGGAGCCCTGGTGGCGCAGTGGTTAAGAGCTCGGCTGCCAACCAAAAGGTCGGCAGCTCAAATCCACCAGCTGCTCCTTGGAAACCCTATGGGGCAGATCTACTCTGACTTACAGGGTTGCTATGAGTTGGAATCGACTTGATGGCAATGGCAACGGGTTTGGTTTTTTCTGGTACCCACCATCTTTCCATGTGCTCTGAGACTGTGCAATTCTATGCATGTATTATAATGTCCACACAGTTCCTCTTTAAAAAGTGTTCAGACTTGAGAATGAGCTTTCAACAACATTCCTTCTATTTGGGTCCAACTAGGCAGAGGCCTTTTAAAGTGAATTCTGGATATATACTTGGCAGGTTTCCCACCACTGCTTCATTTCTAAGCTATCTGTGTGTAAACATGTGCTTCTGATGGTCTTACTGGACCACTGCAGGGTCCATGCATGCATGTCCCAACCTGGAGTTGGACAGGATAATCAGTCTCCCTGGGAGCAACTGTGATGTCACAGTCACTGAACGGTGGCATCAGTGAATGAACCTGAGGGGAGGAGGCTGTTAGTGACCGAGAAGAACACTTCTGTTTACACACCAGTACTCTGCTAATCCATAGAGACGGGAAGGAAATCAGAAGCGTTCTTTGCGGCTTACTTTAAAAAACACACTGTGCCTAAAAGTACAGGGGAAGCTGGCAACTGACTTAAAGTAATGCTAACTCAAGTTTCTACGGCATTATTTAAGCACACAGTGTACAACAGCAGCTGAAAGAATGTTATTTAGTTAAAAGAATATTCCAGGTCTAGAGGTTTAAATTCAATTTATTAAATCTCAGAAAAAGGTCCCAGAGAAAAATTTAAAATTATGGGAAGCTTGGAATCTGGGTAGGTCTCCTCCCCCCTTACTCCCCCCAAAAAAAGCACTGGAAGAAATACAGCTGTGGATTTAGAGAAAATTCTGGCTTTAAATACTTGCCTATGATTTTGTAAGCATCATACATTATCCAGTAAGAATTTAAACAAAAGAGGCTTAACTATTTGCCAGTGAAGGTATCTGAAAAGCTTCTTAACCTGGAATAGGTGGCCTGAGCAGAAAACTCAATAGATTCTGTAATAATAAGTATTTTCAAATATTCTGATACAAAATACATTTTCTTTCTCTCTATGCACCACACACACACACACACACACACCCCTGTCAAAGCAACACTCACTAGCTCAGTTAGACTCACACTTGGTTTCAACTGATCCATAACATGCTTCAATTCCCAGCACCCCGCCATGTGCTTTCCTGCCGACTGTAACCATGGCACCCCTACTTCAATCAGGTGGTGAGCTGCTCTCAGAAGAATGGATGCCTCTGCTGGTCCATAACTGGCCCCACTACCATGCAAGCTCAGGCTCTCTCCAGGGCCCAGTGGGCTGCCCCACCCCCAGACCAGGGGTGTGCAGCAAACCCCACATTCCTCTCCCAGCCAGGTATTCCAGCTTGGGGGCTTGGGGGAGGGGCGAGGGAGTGAAGAGCTAAATCACAGGGAGAACCTTCTTAATTTGTCTAGGCCCTTTGGAAAGTATTGTTTCAACCATCCAAGAGCAAGACTCGTCAAAGCACTGGTGAGGAAACAGCTAGGAAGGAGGCAAGAGAAAGGGGCATTTTAGGAGAAGGAAAGAAAGCACGAAGAGGCAGGCGAGTCAAGGGCAATGCTCAGGCCGCCCGTGGATCTGGCAGTGGGAGCTGCAGTCAGGGATGGGGTGCTGAGGAGAGGACGTCAGCACGGGCTGCACTCTGAGCATCCTCAGACCCTGCTCCCAGAGAAACACGGCCGCCCGGGGCTGCGCCTTACCTAATCCTAGGTGCGGGTGGTGCTCCACCAGCGTCCAGCTGTTGTCATCCACACAGTGACTTTTGTAAACCAGCAACTGGCACAGGTCCCTGGCTGTCATGTCTGCGAGAATCTCCACCACTTTGCACGTCCCATCTTCACTAAAGACTTTAACATCCTGCAACAGAGAAAGGGGACACTTACAGGTAAGTGACTTCATTTGTTAAAAAAAAAAAAAGAAAAAAAAGACACTGAAACAAAATGAAATGAAAAAGGAAAAAGAAAACCAGTGGAGCTCCAACACATGTATAACCGTTCTTCCAGCAACCCAGCAAGCACAGCAGCAGGCGTGCGAGAGGACAACCTCCATCGGACGATCCCTTCCCTCCTCCCACCTGCCCCCTCGAAGGGGCACCTCATGTAGGATTACAACAGAAGATTCGTTCTTGAAACGCCCAGGACGTCTCCTGGGTACATACAGCAGACGACTGAAGCCAGAGTTCACAAGCTGCTTCTCAGCTACCTTTCTTCGGAAGGGACAGAACTGATTTAAAATTCTGCCAGCGGTCTCAAGGCTGGAAATCTTACAGATGAGCCAATTGCAAAGAACAAACAAAGAAGCAAAAATCCCCCCCAGTCTTCCTCCTCCCATAACAACTTTTGATGACTCTACCTCACCAGGGTTCAGGGTGGAGCGGTGGGTGCCCCTGGCCCCTTCAGTCCCATTTCCACCCACCTCATGTTCACTTAGGCTTAGGAAGAAGTTAAGATCCGTCAATATGAATATGCTAAGATTTAAAGTAGAGAAAAAGGGGGCATAGTAAGAACAGCCACAAAATTCTTCGGCCCCTTCCCCTACAAAATGACAAACCAGGTTTGTTTTCCTGTTACTGTTCAAATCCATTAAAAACCAACAGCTCCCAGGCGAAGTGACTGTCACATGGAGTTTCAGAGGACTATAAATATACTATGCTCAAGCCACAAAAACTGACAGGGATGCAACCTTTAGGGGAATGTGAGATGCTTTAAAAAAATCTTACCTTGACAGCATGGAAGAGGCAGCAGTCAGAAGAACAAGATGGCATTTTAAACAGCGGTTGCCTCTTGAAAGGGAGTTTGTTCTCGGTCTCTCCCCTTGTGCCTGGCAGGCTGAGCTACACGGCCGGCCAGGGCACTGGTGCTGTCAATGGGTGGCTGTGCCAAGCTTGCGTGAGCCTTGGCAGGGAGGCTGTTCTCAGCAGGCAGGGGCAGACGCTCGCTCAAAGGCAGGCTGCCTCACACACGGTCCTTTAGGCAGTGAATCAAACCATGCTCTGCAGACCAATCACGTCCTTCCCTTGGACTGATGTAATCATTCCCTGCTCACTCTCCCACTACAGTACACTGGACCCGCTGAAGGAGGTGGTGGTGGTGACAACAAAACCCTCCCAAACCAGTAAGCTGGGAAACTCTTGTCTTTTTTTCTTTTTTCTATCAGAATGAAAGAGCAAGCAGGACACTCAGAGCCTGAAGCACTTGCATTCTCTGACTTCCGACCCTTTGACTAAATCTCTTAGAGTCCTGTCTGTCCCTAACACTGATGTCATCAGTTGCAACTTTTGCACTGGCTCTCCCACTCGGCATGCGAATGTCAGCTTTCCCTGACCAATGATCCTGGCTCCCCTTTGACCCCTTGCGTGTTTTTTTACCCAAGTGCTTACTTTGTTTGAACTTTCATTTGAGTGGAGAGGAGGTAGACGTGGACAGGAGAGGGCTGGTTGTTGGAATCAATGCCCCGTTGCATGAGTGGTATACAGAAACGGGCTGTGCCAGCCTAACAGCACAGTCTCCCAGCCCTCTGACATCTCTGGGCACATGGTAACCCTGTGGCTGGGAAGGAGTTAAAGACCAACCCAGCAAAAATCAACTCAAGTGAGAGGTGAGAACTTCAGCTGATCACAAGGGCTACAACTCCCTGCCTTGTAGCCTCTGGGCCCCTCACTAGCTCCGAGAAATCTCAGGGACTGAAATGGGGCTGAGCAACTTGACTTCTGGAGCCCTAGTGGCGCAGTGGTTAACAGCTCGGCTGCTAACCAAAAGGTTGGCAGTTTGAATCCACTAGCCGCTCCTTGGAAACCCTACGGGGCAGTTCTACTCTGTCCTATGGGGTCGCTACGAGTTGGAATCGACTTGACGGCAATGGGTTTTTTAACTTGCCTTCTACTCACACGTATTATTAAAGAAATCCACCCATTTCTTTCTGGAACTTGTGTCACTCAATGAATTTATGATTCTTCCTAACAAATTAAATGTTTAAATGCATCTGACATTACGGAATCAGTCAATAAACATACAATTTATTTTGAACAAAGAAACTGTTTCTGCTCTATAGGTAAAAGCTTTTATTAAAAAAGGCAGTGACATCAAATAAAAACAGAAACTTAGAAAATGCAAATGAATTCATATAATTCTTATAAATATGCTAACTATATAATCTAACACGTCTTCCATATCAGTGTATGCTTTCCATCACCAAGAAGTGTTCCTAATACTCTTTCTTCCCTCAGTTTCTAAGCAAGTTTATCTGTGAGCACTACCAACATTATACTCTTTTGAATGCTTAAATCACATGGAAGTGCACTTCTGCCTCTGAGTCCAGTTACTGCCATTTCCCGCCCAAATAAGCCACAGCACTTCCCAACCCCACTGTGTTTTTCTCTAAACTCCCGGCTCACTTCCCTGTTGCTCTGCATCCGACCCTCTCAACCCCCAAGGCCTATATATAGTCTTTATATTAGAAGCTAGGATGTGCTTTGTCACAGGGCTACTCTGGGGGCAGGCTGGCCAGGGCCTGTGGCAGGAGAGACACAAAGGAGCTCAGGACCTCGTGTCCTATGCTGTCCACTCTGCCCTGCCCTGGTGCTCCCCAGTTCCTTCCCCAAACTCCCCAGGACCTTCTGAGGGTAGAAGAAACACATCCTCAAGACAGAAAACCACGAAGACCCACATACACAGAGTAATCTCAAATTGGGTAAATATTTGGAACTACGAATGAGAATATTTGCAATGAATATGTAAAGCACCAAGGATAATGTCACACTGAACAGCCACCCACCAGGGTTCCTTTTAAAGAAAGCCATCAGTTCAAGAAGGAGCAAGCTGTACAGTGTCAAACCACACCAAAACCAAAACCCTGGCTGTCAAGTTGATTCCTCATGGCAACTCCATGTGTTACAGAGTAGAACTGCTCCATACGGTTTTCTTGAGTTTATGGAAACAGACCGCCAGACCAGTCTCCCAAGATGCTGCTGGGTGGGTTCAAACTGTCAATGTTTAGGCTAGGAGATGAGTGCAAATCCCTTCCAACAGCAGAGGACCCTGTCCAGTGTCAACGGTCCCTTTATCATCCATGTGAGCGGTCCAGAAGGCTCATTCTAGAAGCAAATAATGGTTTTCTATCTCAGCTCTAGAGCAGCAGCCCTGGTCAGTGGGCCCCTCAGTGCAGGCCTGGGGCTTCTTCTTCATCAAGGCACTCAAGCGCCTGGCACAGGGCATGCGGGGCATGGAAGGGTCTCCTGAGTAAGCCAAGGCCCTGCCTCACAGCAACTTACAGTTCATCAGGGAGATTTGTACTACCTGCAGTTATTTTTACAGGATATAATTTGTCCAGGGAATAGATGAATCTGGGTAATACTAGGATGGAGTGGAAAACTCAGAGCTCAGCCATGTACTAGCTCTGTGGCCTTAGGCAGATAATTAAATAGCTAAGACTCACTTTCCTCATCTGTACAATGGGGTGCTGATAATACTATGTCAATAACATAGGTAAAGCAAAATGCCCAATACACGGTAGTGCTAAAAATAATCAAAACTCTAGGAAATTGAAACATAAGGTTTATTCAGAGCAATTATTCTGTATGTACTTAAGGAGACCATTCTAATTCCAGGGGGAAAAAAAGCAAATGTCTCCAAGTCAGCAAGTTACAATGAAGCTTATAAAGGGGGTGGGGGGTGGGGAACAATAGAAGATGAACCATTGGCCAATTTTAACATGATTGATTGAACCCTGCCTTCCCCCTTTTATTGAGGTCAACTGATCTCAGGTCACAAGGTGGCCTCTGGCCCTCCATCCACCCGCCGCTATACCTTTTTGATATTCATATTAGGAGAGCCTAGAGTCTTTTTCCAAGCGCTGGTGGCGCAGTGGTTAAGAGCTCAGCTGCTAATCAAAAGGCTGGCAGTTCGAATCTACTAGCCGCTCTCTGGAAACCCTACAGGGCAGTTCTACTCTGTCCTATAGGGTCACTATGAGTCAGAACTGACTCGACGGCAACTGGTTTGGTTTGGGGTTAGACTCTTTTTCATTTAATCAGGAAGCAAGATTTTGTTGACTATCATTTTCTAGCAGGAAAGGACAAATTTACATTGCTGTAGAGCAGTTTCTGGCAAGCTTTTGCAGTTTGGGCCTGGCTTTTTATGGTTAATATTTGGTTTCATGGGTAACAAAAACCTTAAAATCAAAGCAAGATACCTATTCTTAATTTTCATCTTCAACAGCAGTTCAAGCATAGTTTGTGATCTCCCTTGGCATAGGGTGGTGGTCACGATGAGGCAGTCTGGAACCAGACTGCGTACAATCCTGCTTCATCTTTTACTAGCTGTGGAAACTTGGCTGAGTTACTCAGACTCTCTGTGTCTCAGTTTCCTCATCTGTAAAATGGGGATCCGCAGTGTGTCCATCCTCCCTGAGATGTGCCTGGGTCTAACACAGAGCTGTGTATAAGACAGGCCTTCACTACACGTCTGTGTCTGCAGACAATGGAGGTAAGGAGGGGCAGGCCCAGGACCCGGAGGGAGGCTTCTGACCCAGGATCCCAATTCTGAGAAAGTAAACCTCATGACCAGCAGGACGCAGTGGGAACAATTTTAACATGATTGAGTGAACCCTGCCAGCCCCTAAATACTCAATTTCCTTTTCTCCTTGGCAAAGGAAACTAAATAGCTAATTGCTTTTTAAAATAAAACAGTAATATTAAAGAGGGCATAATTATGTCAACAGCACGAAACTCTTTTCAGGGTTAGTGGGGGAGGACGGCTTTGCATGGGGAACCAGCCCTCTGACTGTCTTGGCACAGCTTCCAGTTATAAAGGCCCTGAAGTGGTAACAGAAAGTTCCATTGTTCCCTAACTCTCTGTTGT